CACGAGCGAGAACCCTGCTGGAGGTCTGCGCGAGCAGAGCACGAGGCGGCATGAGCTCTCTCGTGAACTGGCGTCTGCTTGAGTACGCCACCGCTGCCGCCAAGCATCGTGGGAGCTGTAGAGCTGTAGTCTTTCTGCACGCGCGAGAACCCTGCTGGAGGTCTGCGCGAGCAGAGCACGAGGCGGCATGAGCTCTCTCGTGAACTGGCGTCTGCTTGAGTACGCCACCGCTGCCGCCAAGCATCGTGGGAGCTGTAGAGCTGTAGTCTTTCTGCACGAGCGAAAATTCTGCTGGAGGTCTGCGCGAGCAGAGCACGAGGCGGCATGAGCTCTCTCGTGAACTGGCGTCTGCCTCCTATGAACTACAGTTATGGCGGCGTCACGCATGCGTGGAACGCTTGGTGAGATCGGTCTATTATTTTCACAATTATCGACGAAAAAAAAAACAATAGTTTATTTCCATCGATGAAAGTAAACTGAATCCTTGTGAAGACGCCATACGCATCGAGCGTGTTGCCAGTCGTAAAAAGGCGACCACAGCGACGCGTATGGACGCACATATCGAAAATACCCAGGATCTCTTTTTAAAAAAATCTGGGTATTGAGCCCAGGATATATATGATGATGACACGTTTTTTGCGGCTGCGGCTCTAGCTATATTTTAATCATTAGTTTTTGTTTGTTTTTGTTGTTGTTTTTTTAGCACCGGAAAGTAAAAAGGGAAAAAAAAAAGATTCCTAGGACACTTAAGCACTTTTTATGAGTTTTGAATGCGAAAACATGAATGTGTAAATGAAAGCCGTTGAGCGGTCCTTCGAGTTTTGCGGTGCGAGTCCGTGGCCCCACCGCTTTCGGCCCTCGGGGACTCCGGCGCCTTTCACCGGCGCGGGGCCGCAGCGTCATCGGGTGGCGTTCCTTGAAACTATGACGCGCGCCCCAAGTTATCCAATAATTCGCTGCTAGTCTGCTACAGACTACAGGTCGGTTCGCTCCGTGGGACCAGTTTACGCTTTCGCATTAATAAAGCCCTTGTATGAGCGGTGCCTAGGCATCTACTTTCTTGAAACTCGCGGAAGCCAATGATTTGGACATACGAAGGTGTCCATGGAATAACGAGACAGGGATAACGTTTGCCTTCAGAACCGCTACCTGCGCAGTTGCGCTGCGCATGACGTTCGCGCAGTATATACGGCTTTGCGTTCGCGGACTTACAGATACTGCGCAGAGATTATTTGCAACCCCGTACATTGTCGGAGCCTCATCAATCACTGGTTCTTGTGGCTGGCGTTATGTGAGCATTGCGGAAAAGCAGAAGCGCGGGCTCCGTTCACGCATACACACACACACACACACACACAAATCCTTTTTTTTTTTTGTAACTACGATGTTTATTTATTATGAACTAGCATGTGTTGAGAGCTCATCCTACTAGGTGTCCCCTCAAAAAATTACAAAATTTCTTTCGCTACAAAAATAAGATAAACAAAATATACTATCGAACGCTCATTTTTCCCCTCAAATGTAGCCCTAGCGGTCCGAACCAGATGCCAAATTTTAAGAACTAACCGTTTTCTGAATCGAAGGCTATAACCATTTTCTTCAATTTAATATGGAAAAATGGCGGCAGACATACATCTTATAATACATGGAGCTGAATGGCGCCGGTTACCCAAAATATGCCCCATTTTTCCATTTATATATTTTTTTTAATCACCTATAGCTAATAGAGAGTTTTAGTAGATCGTTCCCATGACTCCGATAACGATACCCGATACTCCGCCACCGCCCTTTTTGTGCATGCATAGTATCGTTATCGGGGCTATCGGAGGTATCGGAACGATCTACTAAAACTCTCTATTGACTGAGATAACGGTTAGTTCTTACACCTTGGCATCTGGTTTGGATCGCTAGCGTTACATTTGGGCGGAGAGTGAGCGTTCGGCGATGCGGAGTTTAGCCTTAGAGTAAAAAATACGCCGTAATTCTCTTTTATTTTATTTTTTTCCCTTTTTTGCGGACAAGTTTCATTTTTGTTACTCACTACACGCTCAACTTTGCAGCTTAGCAGAAAGTGGTTAATAGGCGTTACTAGATGTAGCTCCTCTATTACAATCTTTGACTCTCTTGTTCCGTTTCAGCAGTTTGTCTGCATGCACATTATAAAAAAACTGAAAGTTGAGACAAGAAATCACCTAAACTGCGCTGAAGACAATGGCTGTCTTACTGGCTGTTTTTCCAAGGTTCGTTGCGTGCTGGCATCTTTAGCTGCGTAAGATGGGCATACGTTAGACGGAAAAACGTCAGCAAAAGTACTATTTAAAGTTCCATCAGAACGTGAACACATTACCAGAATCATAAGGGACCAACTAATAAGAAAAAAGAACTAAAATAGGTTGTACTCTCATCATATTTCAGAAGGCGGGTGTGTCTGAAAGAAGGCACCCTACATGAGGCTCATTGACTGCTGCTACTCTACTAACGTCCAAAGCATTGCCTCCGAATATGCAGATTAAAGTTGCAATGCCCCTCTGCTGCTACAAACGCCTACGAAAAAAAAAAAAAAACGAAACAAAATCGAGTTCAACAGCCCGTAGATAGCAAGTGCCCTTCCGTGCTCAGAGTGCGTTAGCCAGCACGGCACGCCACAAAGCGAGTGCAGAGTGCAGGTCTTCTCTACCTGCGCGGATGGCGGCAGCTGCCCGTGGCGTGCACCGCGTACACGTTCTATCGACCGGCTCGGTCCGCACGAGTCTGTGGTCATCACTGAGGACCATCGCGCGCTCCTTCTTTGAATCCGTTTCCATTTTGTTCCGAAAGAACGCCTTCGAGCAAGACGATTAAGTCGAGATGGCTAGTGTATAATACCGCGACTGCTGTGCCCGGAGCGCCGAAGTTCCGGGTGATTCTGCTTAGTGTGTGTTTGTAGTATCTGGACTTATTGGAATTTTTCAGTTGGAAGAGTGCTGTTAGCTTCGGAGGAACGCGTCTCGTGTAGTTTATTCTGGTTCGAGTAAGTGCACGAAAAAGAAACGCATCTCTGTGCTGAGGATCGGACGTGTGCCAAGTGTGAAGTAAAGAGTTCCCGGTGTCTGGGGGGGAGAGGGGGGGGGGGGGTTGATAGGATAGGCTATATCGGGTAAAATACGTATTTCGAGTATGCGCGTTGAACACGCTTGTTTCCGTTTCCAGTGGAATTGATCAATCAGGTTATTATATTGGATTCTTGAAATATCATTAAATTGTTTTTTCTGCTAACAACCATTTATAATATTTGCCATGCTTATTGCGTGTACACTGAAAGGCACTGTTAGCGCGAACACAACTTCGGCGTCTTTTCGCATTTCACTTCGAAAAGCTACTGGCGCGCATAAAAAGCTGCCACTTCTAAAATATCCCAACTGAGTACTTTTTAAGGCTATAGTATAGGCTTAATGTTAGTTTTTCAAGACTAAAAGAAATACAGGGGAAAAAACAGCGATGGCTTGTTCGCGCTAACAGTGCCGCGGAATGTACACGTTATACTTTCTTTACAAACTACGTTAATGAATTTCAATGAAGCCTTAGTAGCGTTTATTTCCATACTTATTTGTAGGTTATATGCATTTAAAAGGCGAACAAGGTCAAATAAATTATATTTCCTAAGATATATAATTCAAGGAAGGAAAGTACTAAGAACTAAGAAACAAGAAAGCTTGGAGAGAACTTCGTCCCCCAACGTACTGTAAAAAAAAAATGGCAGTCAGCGAACTTAAACAGACAAACCATCTTAGTGAATATTGCCATCTTTAAAAAGCCTCTAACACTCCGAAAAAAAAAATTTTTTTTTCATGCTAGGCGTTGAAATGGCATATCAGGACATTACAAAAAAAATGTTTCACTATAGTGTTGCATAGTTTTTTTTTTTTTATTTTTTTTTTTATAAAAATAGAAATTTGAGGCCCAATTCAAGGTTCCCGCGTCAGTGCACTGTGACGTAACAGAGGCCCTTTAAAGGCGACTTTAGTCTAAATCGTACGTGTTTTGGCCGCCAGAGTTGAATAAGTTCGCGCAACGTAATTATGATTTCCAATATTCCAAACAGAAACGGTGAAACGTTTGTATCTAAATCACCACTGAACATTGAAAATCATGAATATCACATTTCTTTTCCGTCGCCAACTTGAGGCCGTGACGTCTGCTTGCTAACCTGACATATCGCTAAGTCTGCACTGCCTTCGCCCATAGCACCAGAAATGAGCAGACACCTCAGATTTTCAGCGAGCACTCGAATCAGTACAGCCGTTTATAAATTCACGCGCTCGTGCTATGTGCTTTCGACGGTAATGACTCGGTAATTAACTTTTTATCATCTTTTGTTTCGTGAGTGTTTATGTTGTTTTTTTTTGTACTACGCATACGAGCTGCCCCTCCCTTGAAGGCCCTGTTCTTCAAGGTACTAATAAAATAAATAAATACATAACATTTTATATGGTGGCCACACGTCCGAATTTATATCTAATCATTTTACACAGATTGTTTCGTACCGTTCAAAAATCCACTCCGGCGTTTTACTTACCATGTCGGAACCAAAAGTCCTAGGATGGGTGCAAGGGACACTGAACTCCAAACGAATACCTTAAAGTGCCTGAAGAGTACGTCACAAAACGTACGCTCCCCCCCCCCCCCTCTCAAAAAAAAAAAAAAAAAGATGAAAAGAGCACAGTGTACGCAATAGTTTCGCCACAATTCAAAAGCGATTCCAAAACGTGACACTGAGGTACTTTTATATTGCAAAAAAACGTGTTCCTCCCAGACACAAAATTTTGTTTAGAGAGTTTAGTGCTTTTACCGTGAGACAGCCTTTGGGAGCTGCCACTCGTCCGCTTCCTTCGATGCACTGAAGACAAAGTTAACAAGCCGGATGCTGGTTTAGGTCACACATCAACTAAACCAGAGACGACGTACGAGGAAACGAGGGACAAACACGTGTCTCCCTTGACGCCTTGCCTTTTCGCGCGCAGTGCGAAGCCTCCCAGGGCCTGGGCTTCCGACGCGGCAGCTACCGTTGCCGCTGCAAGGAGGGCTTCTACGCGCCCGGCGTGGTCCAGGCGCCCGGAGACCCTGGCGGCGCGGGCGAGATGGTCGGTGAGGCGCTGGAGGCTTCGGGCGAGGCGTTCCACTGCCTGCCGTGCCCCGCGCGCTGCGGCAATGCGTGCCAGGAGGAAGGACAGGCCTGCTTCGTCCAGTACAACATGGCCTGGCGAAGCCTGGCCCTCGGCCTGCAGAGCTTCTGCACTACCGTCACCCTGGTGCTCATGGTCATCGTGTTCAGGCTACGCAAGTCCAAGGTGCGCAGCGTGACCGGCCAACGGATCAGCGCGACTTAAACCGTCTCCGTGATTGCAATTCGAGATTAGGCAAACGCTCACTGTGACATCTTTATTTTGATTTCGTTCTCAACGACGGAATTTCGCGCAATGTCAAGAGTGTCAGTTGTGACAATGTTGGTTTAAGAATGTGATGACATCAACTTTTCATTGTTATTTTTTCACGCGTTATCAAACTTGTAGTTCGCAATTGATGGTAAGTTGTCAAGATTACGACTCATGACGTCACGGCGAGGCAAATTCTGGTCGTGACGTCACTAACAGAAACATTAAGAGGGCGCCACCGAAACATCTCGGCGCTAATAGTCGCCGAAGATTTAAGAAACATGGGGGTAGCGAACCCCCAGCATCTCATTATCGTTCCGCAGTCAATGAGGTTGCGGCATTCCCTTACAAAAATCTGTAGCTAAATTCTTTTGAATTTTTGTTGAAAATTTTCTGGAATCGTATTGAATTTCTTTTTAAACTTTTTTTATGTTTTTTAGACTTTGTTTTGACAACTTATTTAACTCCTAGTTAAAATTGGCCACTTAAATTTTTTAGAATTCCTTCTTACATAAATTATTTTGAATTCCTTCTTACATAAATTCTTTTGAATTCCTTGCTTACATAAATCCTTTTGAATTCCTTCTTACATAAATTTTGTTGAATTCCTTTTGGCAAAACCGCAAATTCACGTTTAAAAAAAACACTAAATTTTTTAATATATTTTTTTAATTTCGTTAGGAAATTGTGTCTTTTTAATACATACACATCCCACATATAAGCTATGTAAACAAACACAAACACCATCAAGCACTCAACACCAGAAACACAGTCCTGTTGACAGCACCAGAGCCTTATATAGCCTACATATCGAAGGTAATCATTTGGCCGGTGACCACCTGAGCACTTACTAAGTTTCCAAGTCTCCGGTCTCTTTCTCGAAAGTCTGTCAAAGGAAAGACGGTGTTTCGAAGTTCGTGGACTCTATCTCTTACTAAAAAGCATTGGTACAACTAATAATAATTTCGTGTAGTCGCTAAAACAATATCCACAAAAACGACTCATAGAACAAATGTTATCGCTTCTCTGCATAGCACCACTTGGGACGAAGCCAGTCAAGGCGGTTGCTCCGCTTTAAAATAGTTATTTTGCTCTTCTTTACTAGTTGAATAGGGTCAATAATTCAACGATAGTCATTTACAAAGTGAGAACGGCAGGGCGTGTTTTTCGAACGCCTGGCCTCCAGCACGCGCCCCATGCCTTCCGTCGTGCTTTGACTGCGCAGTCGAGCTCGAGGGGCGCGAGACGTCGAAGAGTTGTCAAGGATAGAAGGCTCGCGCTGGAGGCAGAAGAACGGAAGCTCCTCCCTACGGTTCTCAACTTGTCAGAGACTATTGAGAAACTTAGTGACTTTTGACATTTATTTAAGATGTGTTATGTTCAATAAAAAGTCAACAGAAAGTCTGTAGCTTTTCTTTCGACACTGGCTACAGAAAGTCAACTGAATAATTTAAACACCATGTAAATAGAACGTCTGCAGTATTTCTGATAACACTTTCAACAGGAAGTGAACAGAAAAAGATACAACGTAGAGTTAATAGAAAGTCAATAGCTTTTCTTTTGACTCGGGCAGAAGAAAATCGTAAAAAACGTTCAACACAAAATCAACAAACATTTTGTTGACCATGTCAACAGGAAGTCAGTCAAAATAAAGTAATCAAAGTGAACAGGAAGTCAACGTATTTTCAATAAAAAGTAAAAAAAAACAAAACATCCGTCATATCGGACCCCGCACACGACCGCAGACCAAATAAAATAATAAAAAATGTCTCTTTTTATAAAAGATTATAAAGAAATAATGTCAATAGGTTTTCTTTTTATTTTTTAGAAAATAACCTACAAAAAAGTTGTTACAACTTCTTATTTTTTTTATAAATAAGTCTACAAAACCAAATCTATTGTTTTTCCTTTTGAATTTTTTTAGAAAATAATCTACAGAAAAACGTCTTTACAAGTTCTTTTTAATTTTTTATAAATAAGTCTACAAAACAAAATCTATTGTTTTTCCTTTTGAATTTTTTTAGAAAATATCCTATAGAAAAACGTCTTTACAAGTTCTTTTTAATTTTTTTATAAATAAGACTACAAAACAAAATCTATTGTTTTTCCTTTTGAATTTTTTTAGAAAATATCCTATAGAAAAACGTCTTTGCAAGTTCTTTTTAATTTTTTTTATAAATAAGTCTACAAAAAATTCAATATTTTTTTCTTTTGAAAGTTTTTTGACAATAGTCAAAACAAAGTGCGTTTATAAAGGAATTCAGTAGGATCGCGGAAAGTCAATAAGAAGTCTAAAGAAAGTAAAAAGAATGTTGAGACCCGTTTTTGTAAGGGTTAAACGATAAGAACGTCAAAGAACGAGTCACAAACCAAGAAGCGTGGTTCATAACACGCCGTGAGGTTTTTTAGCTGTAAGTTACCATAGCAACGCACTAATCAATCAAATGTTTTTTTCAAGGTGAGAAGTAACTCTTTTTAAAAGCTCTAAAGGTACAAAAGGGGACACTATATGTCGTTTGACAGGGTATCATGGCCAACCTTGGGCGAAGCTTAGCAGCATACAATAAACGCGACACAAACGAAGAAGGTTAAAATCGTAAAGAAATTACGTATAGATTACCAACATATTATCATCAATTGTGCATACATTATCAGCAATAAGAAAAGCCTAATTATTTTCTAAGTGTTCCTCTATAGCTTCGATATTATGAACCATCATTGTGCTTGACAGAAGATGTGTCTAGGGGATTGGGTCCCCTAAAATCATATGATGTGACTCCAAACACAACCGTCACACGGCCTTCAAATTTAGCGCCCTTACGTTCCGCGAAGTTTAATGTTGCGAAAATCCGTTACGGAAATTCTACATTTAAGGGTCGAGGCATCGCCCACCAAATTTAGCAGACGGTTTCCGCGTGGCGTCATCAGGATAACCTGGTGGTGTGATAATGATCAAGTCACCATACGGACATTAGGTCAATAGGTACCTAGTACGCGTTCTTGTATTTTATATTTCTGCGGATTTAAGTTGGGTTCTGAAACAAATATACCCAGAGAGAGAGAATAGATGAAGATTGCGAAAAGCTTAAGGTATTCTCGGGCTGATGCATGTAGATGCTATCCTGTCGTTTAACACCTGAGACATGGTGCAGAAAAAGAAAAATGTTTAGTCGGAGGAACAGGTACAGAACGGCACGCCCTTGTCGGTTCCTTCTGTGTCTGTTCCGTCGACATTTTTTTTTTTTCCATTTTCAGCTTTGCAGTTTTATGTGGTGAAGTATGTAATTAGCTATCAGCACCTCGCCTGCGCAGTCAGTCTTTTCGCTATCCCATAAGGTGATAAATATTGTCTTCTTTGGTCATAAAGTTAGAGTGCGTTATATTGAACCTAACAACGAAAGATTTGAAGGATGCTAATAATAAAATTCTAAGTAAAATCTGCAAAAGCATATTTTCAGATATTTTTTTTTTACATGTATTGTTTGACGTTTGCAGAATGTGACTCTTCGTTTTCGAGGTCGGCTTTTCGTAAAGAGTACGATTCGGTCAGCATAGTTGTTGGGCCTGACAAGTGGTCTGTCCGAGGCAGCAGACGACAGAAGCAGGAAGGCGTTACTAAAGGAGAGAAAAAAAAAAGGAGACAAATAGGCGAGTTAAGGGAGCGCGGCAGAACAGGGACAGGACGAGCAAAGGAGAATCGAAGAGGACAGGCGTCTCGCACGGCTCAGGAGGCCCGTCTCCGGAACAGAGTTAAAGAACCTCTGACACGCCAAAAAAAAAAAATTTTTTTTTCATGCTAGGCGTTGAAATGTCATGTCGGGACATTACAAAAAAAAAGAATTGTTTCACTATAGAGTTCCGTAGTTTTTTTTATAAAAAAAATAGAAATACGAGGCCCAATTCAAAGTTCCCGCCAGTGCACTGTGACGTCACAGTGTACGGCAAGGTGTCGGGGCGGTCAGAAGGGAGGCACCGACCTACGTCACTAAAAGTGGGTTCGCAGGAAGTCACGTGAGTTTCACTCCTCGTGCTCTCCGCGACCGTGCCTAAGACTTTTTTTTTTCTCCTCTTTGTACGAGCGACCGCAGAAAACGAAGTTTCAGTTCTACTAGTTCTTTATCGCTGCACCGTTCGTTAGTTTGCGTGCTGTAAAAGTTGAGGACGAAGAGTCAGTGGATGGAGGTCAATGATGAAAGCGTTGCGAGTACAAGCCAGTGTACGAGTGCATACCGTCAGTCTGATGATACAGAGCTATACGGGGCACAAAAGAAGCTATCAAGTTTTGAAAAAAAAAATATTTTAGAACGCTCGCAGAAATTATAATTGCTAGCGTACGACACGCCCAATTGCATTGCTGAAGGTTCGGACACCGAGGTCGTCGAATCTCCGTATACTCTCCAGGCTGAAGATGCCTGCCGTCTCTCGGAAATGCATCCAGTGTAATCTCTTCTTCAGTTGCTGAAATACCGGGACACTCCCTCACACAGCACCTTCTAGGCATTGTAGTTGATCACGCCAATTCCCTGACTCCTCTTCTTCTACCTTTACAGCAACATTAAGCGATGAAAAGCAATTGTGATTGCACAGGTGTGCACACGTCTTCCAACATAAAGAGACACTCTAGTTATTTTCGAAATTGAATATCGTTGTTGCAAGACGCGGCGAGGGAGCTCCGTTAAAATACTCTATTTTAATCCAAACGGAGAATTATTTGCCCCAGAGATCAACTAAGCGGAGAATGAGCTCTCCGCAACGCCCTAATTTCTCCGTAAAAAAAAAAAAATAATAATAATAATAATAATAATGCTGGCTGGGCTTTTTAAATTTTATTACTTGAGCGCGGAGTCCAACCGGGCTCAAACGTCAAGGATCCAACTGAAGATGTCCACCGCTCCCTCTCTCATTCTCAACTCACTCTCATTCAGATTCCACAGAGGAAGGTTTGTTTCAGTTTGAGCAGTTCCGCTATAGTATTGGCGGAGTCCGTTTTTTAAAGGTATATTCATCTAAAATTTCCGACAAAACAAGGCGGTATATCGATACCCCTAAAAAAGGAACGGTTAGATATTCCACTAAGTTTTATTTCGGCGGTTTCTTTCTTTTTTGATCTCTCTCTCGTAACTATTTATATTTCACTGAATAAATATGTCTTCGTCATTGGTCCAGTAAAGCATTTTCGGTAACTCAATATGAGTACCTTCTGCGCTTCAACAACCTTTCAATACTTATTGTCGTTTTAATTCGTATTGTAGCTAAGGCTACGTACCTACAACGTAGTCTATAACAACAAATTTAAGCGAAAGAATCTTCAAGAAAAAATCGTTCAGCCTTTCCACTCTCGTGAAGAAGGAAGACCAGCGGAGCTGTACTCGATACATTGTGTGCTTCTTCTTCGTCGTCGTCTGTTTTTCGCGCTGTTTCCTACGATGCATTCCCACCAACGCGCCCACCTATCCATTCTTCTATTATAGCTGGAAAGGTTGCCGCTATATACGAGCGACGGCGGAAATCATAGTGGTTGTGTGCTTGCCGCCGTCGCTTATAGATGGCGGTAGCTGTCCAGGGAGGTTTGTGTCGACATACACGGACACGATCCTGGGGAACCTAGCCCTTAACAGCTCCGCTGTAAAAGAAGTTTGACGACAAACGTTCAAACTATCATTTCTTATTCGTGTGAGCATAGAATGCACTACCTTTCCCCCTTGTTTCACAAACCGAACCTGCCATCGCGAGTAATTACTAATTGGTAACAATTAACAGTGTAGGCGCGTTTACCAAAAGGGTCAATTCGAAAGAGCCCGGAAACAATATACCGGCGAGCACTAATTCTGTCTTTCCCCTCCTTCTGTTCCTCGTAGATGTTTGCGTCAGCAATGTGGATTCTTCTCGAAGTCATCCTGGTGGGAGCTTTGATTATCTACCAAACAGTAAGTGCCGGATTTACGACTGTCGTAAAAGCGGCGAGACAGTGCCGTTCTTTCGCTTCGGCCTCGGAGCAAGACTGCCGCGCCAGTCAATGGGTCCTACCCGACCAAGCGGAATAACCGCGTGGGGCACACAAGGAATGAGCGAGGCTGTGCTATACGGATACTGATATCGCTGCCGACGTCGATACGGGAAGCGAGTGAAAAGTCTTAAATTTATCTACTTTTGCCGAATAACCCCAGATGTTTATTTAGGTATGCTATGCAGTAACTACCATCTTAAGAAACGCTGGACGCGCCAGGTCTTTATAAGGTATTCTATCGCTCTCCTGCCAATGAGATTGAGGCCCGCTAAGATCATAACGCCCTGCCTTTCTTAAGCAGTCAGGGCCTATACGGAGCGCAAGTTCGTCCGCTTCTTTTGCAGAGGTTGGGGTGGCGTCTGAAAGACACCGAGTTCCGGCTGGCTCTGATTGAAGGATAGTGGGTAGACCTCGACGGCAGCTTGGTTCGAGGTCTACCCTCTATACTTGAATCAGAGACAGTCAGAGCTCGACGTTCTCACGTCACCACAACCCCTGCAAAACAAGCAGGCGAATTTGCGTTCCGCCTGGTTGACAAGTGGTTCCGAAAGTGGTATGCTTTTTTTATATTAAAGGTTTTCGTGATTTGATTGTCTGTGTGTGCGCGTGAGTGTGTATGTGTGTGTGTGCGCGTGTCTGTGTGTGCGTGCGTGCGTGGGTTTATAGCTAAATATGCCGGAACGCAGCGTAAATGTAACAATTCTCTACATTATTTTAATCTTAATGGCCAGTCGTTGTAGAGAACGGGTTTTTATTTCTCTACTTTATGAACGTGTACCCATATGTTATGTAGGACATAAATTAAATAGATAATCCTCAAAGTGAAAAAAAATACCGGTCTCAATTATAGTTATTGATTTGTCAAGAAACGTCAACGCCAGACCATAAAAACGCGATACACTCGGGCTTCTGGCTTCTTCTAGACACTTATTTTTTTTTATTTTTTAGAAGCAACAGCTTTCTGATTTCACCAATTCGTGAAAAAAAAGAACGCTTCGGTGATATGTGCTTACTGCTAAAAACCTAATAGACAAAAAATTAGTGAGAGACGACACCCGCCGACATACGTTTCCAGTAGAAGCGCGGTCTTACTGACCCGGGGCCGTGCGTAGACCTCCCGTCGCGATTACCCGGTTCCTCCTCCTCTCCACAGACCACCAACGAATACGATCAACGATAAAAACTCTCCAATGCAGTTCGCTAGTGAGCTCGTCACCACTTGCCGGCTGCAGCAAATGGGGACGTGCAGTCACCTTGCGCAGGTCACAAAATATGGCTTTACGACGAAAGAGAAGGTCACAAAAGTACAAGCGCAACGCAGTGCGGAACGGGGAATTTTACGGCTCACTCGCGGTCTTCCGTGAAAAGAGGCGTCACGTTTTCCTATCGAAGCCCCCCTGCCCCACTATGCTCAATCTGTCCTCCGCAAACGAAACTCTCTGATGGGCAGCAGAGGCTCGTTCGCCAGCTAAGCCGCTGCTTGGGATAATGGACGCCGAGGCAGCCACCTTCTCGGGTGAACACACGAGAAAGATCGATAGCGGGCGGACTCGTTCGCGCTGCGCCGGCGGCTTCGGCTTTCGCCAATGCCGGAGCGCACTCTCGGGAAAGCGAGGCGGCGGTGGCGGCGGCGGTGTTCTTGGGGACTCCGCAATCCTGCGCCGTGCTTCTCCCCTTTGTTCGCTGTAATTGGGGCCTCGCAAACACGGCAGCGCTCGCACCCGTGAGCACACGTCGTAAACAGGCTAGGGCCGAGGAAGAAGAGAGCCAGAGGCTGCAGGGGCCGCCCTGGGCTGCGTTTCGCCTTACGATGCACCGCAGTGAAGTCCCAGCGAAGCCAATCGAACGCCGTACGAGGGTCACGTGACATTTGGGAGGCACGCAGCGAGTACTAAAGTGTTTCTATAGGAGTGGCAGACGACAGTTCTTACTGTGCCTTGGACTGCACTCTTGTCAGACTCGTTTAAAACGCTGCGACGTGCGGGGCACGTAGTCACGTGACAAGTTCAAAGGACTGGATTGGCTGGGATGCCTCGTCTATAGTTTCCGCTCCGGTCCGTCGTAAGGTGAAAACGAGTCTAGCCGCCGCCGCAACCGTCCTCGGCGCGGCACTGGTTGTCATCAAACGCCGGTGCCTCCTACGCCTGCAGTCTGTGACTAGGCGGTTTAATAGGCTTCTTTTTTTCTACCGCCTCGCGGTCCTTTCGCACGTAACGACAGGGGAAAGGTCGCGAGTGTAACTTGCCAGCAATTCGTGAACAGTTAACGTTTTGGGACCTATTATCTTTATAAAGTTTTCTAGATCCCACGCACTCACCTGATTGTACGGAAGGTTTCTTGATCGAACATATGTTTCCATATGCATCAAATATCGTCGTGTGTACCACCTTGATCATACTATTTGGGGTGCTCGCGGATATGTTTTACGCAATGTGCCAAACACCCTTCACTGTTGAAGGAATCCTTGTCGTGACGTTCATAAAATTAGAACGCCCCTCTTCCGCAGCGACGCCACCGGTCTTCAAACAATACGGCGCCGTGTTGTTTGCAGACCGGTGGCTTCGCTGCGTTTGCATAGGAGCTAAGCCTTTTTCTTTCTTTACTTTTTCCTCAAGTTCGCTCCTTGCAAATCTTACACACAAAAAAATGCACCATTTTTGGGCAACGCTGCACAAAATCGTAGCGCGATACGTTAAGAAACCGAATTTCGCGGTCGATTTAAAGAGCCTGGCCGCTCCTTGAATCACCCGATAGATTGGGTCTCAACGTCGCCGTTTCTGCCGCATAGCGGCAACACCGGGAACGAGATAAACCGGAACGAAGAAGATGGAAGAGTCGCGCCGCGCTACGGCTCCCTCGTGAACAGCCCGATACAAAAAAGAAAAGAAAAAAAAGAAGATCGCGCTACAAATTGGGCGAAAAAAAAGTGCACTTGTGGTTGGCAGGGCTGTTGAAAACCAAGAGTTGTTAATACATCATTCAAAGACAGCCCGCAGACACTGTGTGAGGCAGATTTCTGCGATCTTTAGACATGCTCAAAGCAAACGAGCTTCGAACATCCCTGCGGTGTGTCCCTAGATGTTTCTGCCATCATGTCCGCAGCGAACACTGTCTTTTGTACGCATGATGAAGAGCAGTGTAACTTGGGCTTTGCGCTACCACGGGACATGATGTGCGGAAAGAGCTCTGATCAAGTCGAGCAAGATTTGAAGCGCAGCCGACCGAACCTAGACAGATGGTGATGCGTGAAAGGGCCTTAACAAAGCCGTATATGGTGCTGGGTCTTGTGCACTTACCACGGGCCAACCCGGGGCGTAGATATGACACCATAACAAAGGGTTTAGTTGGGCGAGTTGGTAATGAACATGGTTAAAATTGTCTCTTCTCTCTTCCCTCTTCACTGTTCCCTTCTGTTTGTGCGAAATTTTAACCATGTTCGATATGACACCAGTTTTGAGGTAGCATTGGGCTGGGTCTCATGTCCAATGAGTGAGTAGACGTTAGAAAAACGCTCGTGTGTCTACTTTCCCACGCAACAATCGGAGAGCCAATCACCGCAACTTACGGAGGCAGCTCAGCGAATGACAATGCCGAAACATATGTTTAGACCAAAAAAATGCAGTCTGAGTTGTGACATTTAGCGATGCAAGCGTGACGTTTTACACTGTTTAATGTCACAACTCAGACTGCGTTTTTTTTTGGTCCAAACGTGTATTCCTGCATCGTCATTCGCTGAGTTGCCTCCGTAAGTTGTGGTGATTGGCTCCCCGACTGTTGTGCAATAAAGTAGACGCAGGCTTTTTTTGTTCTTTTTTATGTTTGGTTGCCACCTGTATTCGATTAGTAAACACGAGAGTCAGCCGAAAGCTGACGCAGCGTCCGTGTGGCGATGTTCCGCAAATATAGTGCGCGGAACCTGAAAAGGCTAGTTACCAACCAAATAACAGAACCTAAGTTAAAAAAAAAAAAAAAAAAAAAAAAAAGATTCCGCCTAATGCTCAATTTTCTCAGCGCACTTGGCAGTCAGCAGAGTGTTGTTGTTTTATTTTATTTGGTGCGTTGAGTCTTTCCTGGACTGGGTATGTTTCGGCTCACATTTTACAGTGAAGACGTCCCTGCTTCCTCCGCCAATCGCAGTGGAAATTTGCTCTCCGACTGCTCCCAAACAACACCGAAGCGCGGCTTTCCTTTGCAATATTCGCAGGGCCAGGTTCTGAAACTAAAAATTTCAAAGTCCAAATCAGCTTACCGGTGAAACTTCTAAGCCCGAGTCACGCGACGCGTATCTCTGACGACAGCGGAATTTTTCGTTGACTTTCCGTCGTACGCCGTATACTTTGGTTTCGGTTTCTGCCACGAGTGGCCAAAGCATCGCGGTCCCTCTCCGCTCCCGAATGAATCAGGGATCAGCCGTGGTAGAGAGCGCTTGTCCCAGAGCTACGCGAGGAAAGCCAAGAAAGAGCGGTGGATGGCATTAGGGAGAGCCCTTTTGCTGCCTAATATTTTACCCCGAGGAATAAGGTTCCTCAGGGGACGACGCCAAGCCCGAGACGCGCTGCCGCGTCGCGTTGGATAAACAACGCGTGGTCGGTGGAGTGGGCGGGGGGCGGCTAAAATTAGCGATCGCGCCTCCATGCCCCGCTTGCGGGGAAACGCGCCGCTCGACTCTCGGTAGCGTGCCGCGATGCCGAAAAAATATTTAAAAAAAAAGTAACGAAAATATAGGAAGTCCCTGGAGGAGCCGCGTGGTCGAGAGGGGCCAGTGACGGAGAGAGAAAGCTGTTTCGGCCGCTCAAGTGCCGCTCTCAAAACCTTAACTCCCGGATCGCGAATCACAGCGCCATTTTTTTTGTTGGTTTTTCTTGCTTCTTGATAGTGTTTGTTCCCGCTATACGTGAAGGGTGGAGCCTTGTCCGAGAA